AATGAAATATAAATCTATTTTCGTTGCAATTTAATTCAGAAAAAGAATCAGAAACTTGGTGGGCAAAATTGTCTGATAAATTTGAGAAATTTTTCCCATTAGATGTTTGCCATTGAATATGCCTCTTTAAGTTTATTTTTAAGAAATTTTACCTTTGCCAAGATAAAAGACAAAAAAATTTACATGCGAAGATTTGAAAAAAAAAATATTATTTCATTTTATTAGTTTTAAATGTACTTAGTTTTAATTTTATTTAGATGCACTTTGAAGGATTCTCGTTATAAAATTTTAGTTGATAGTAATCAAAAACAATAATGAGAAAAAAAGAGAGCATAAATGCCATACAGAATATTAATGCACAGTTTGAAAATTATTCTGAGGAATCTTCAAAAGAAGAATTAACTGTGTGAAATAATTTTAAAAGCAAAAATAGAGTTTTCAAAACATTGGTCTGAAAAATGTTGGATTTTTTATTTTTTATTTCAGGTAAAAAGGAGCGTTTTACGAACTATTTTTATCTTTAGTTTTCAGATATTTTCATTGTTGTCTCATAAACTTACTCCAAGCAATGAACCTTACACTTCCTGTTTGCAAGTTCAAGTAAATTACATCGATGTTAATGTTTTGTATTTCAATCGATCTTTTTGAAGTGAAACTTCTAATGCGACTTCTAACAAGGTTGCGTTAAACATTTAACGCAACGATAAATAAAACAAAACATTAATAACAAGAAAAAGTCGCTTGGTTGCCTAGCAACCAGCTAGAGTTTCAGTTATTACATCAGCAGACGATTTAAAACAATTATTCAAGCTAACTGTTTATTGATGACGGAACATCTTTATTGCCACTATCCACTGCAGGTTCACAAGCTCTGGCAGACGTTACTGGTGAAGAAATTGATTATTGTGAGCGTCCTGTGATCCTTGCAGGAGATTTTAATGTGAATTTCTCGTTACCTGAAGCTTAAACATTATTAACCTTCCTTAAAGACAAATTTGGATTGGAAATGATAAATGGTAGGAATGATCCTACAGCCAAAGGGGGAACTACCATTCATACAGTTTTTGCAAGAAATATTACAAAAATAGATTTCAAACATTTCGTATCTTACGTTAGTTATCATAATCCCATAGTAAATGTTATAGATTTGGATATTTCTCCACTCGAAAATTATAATTAAAAGATGCGATCAATTGTGAATAGTAAGCAATGTTAATAAAGTTTGTCTTAAAGAAACAATATGATTTCACTAAAAATCACTTTCTACCCCTTCCTATTTTCATTTCCACATTACGAAGTTTCACTTATTGAGCGCGGAGGGACTCCACGCACTATTTTTTTCTCTCCATCCGAACTGGTTTAGTCATGCTTAGAAACATCATCATTTATATCATTAGTCGTTTTGACCCTAAGTGGTGATAGGAAGGCAAAGTAATAACAAAAATTTTGATCATATTCTTATATATAGCACAAATAGTAATAGCACGAAAACTTATCAACTATTATTATGAGTTTCACGGATCAAAGTTGTTAAAACACTTAAATTACTTGCTTAGCATTCACGTTGTAAATAACGAATTCTCTCACTGATAAATTATCTCTAGATGAAAAAACTTTTGCCTTTGTTTTACCAACATGAAAATTTTAAACCATTGTCATTTACAGAGCACTCAAAGCACAATGAGTAACTCTTTTTTGCCACGCAGTCCCGCAGTGGACTGATCCTAAACAAACGGTTCCCAGTAGAACACCGAAGTCAAGCATCACTGGCTGTCGTCATTAAGACGAAGGGTGACCACTTAGATCAGCGTACGTAAGGACCGAGGCTGCGTGGTATCTGTCTTCGTTAAACTGATCTACCGCAAAGTGCTCGACTTCGCTCGCAGGTCGTCAGGCTACTAAAGAGCAGGAGCCCATTCCCTCTGCGGAAGATCAAAATTGTGAAGGCATGTCTTCGGATCATCCTCGGGTATGTTTCCAAGACCATCGTCTATAGCCCATTGAGCAGCTCTTGTGCGACGCAAATAAAATACCTATCTGTTCTTGCCACACAAGCTTTTTTAAAACGGGCAAATATTTTTGAGTAACTTCACTGAGCAAAATACCTCAGATGACAGTATTTTAAGCAGTACAAAAATTCTTAAAATAAATCTCTTTGATTTAGCTTTTTTGCTATTAAAATTTATTTTCATTTTAAGTTTAGTCGATTTTTTTTGCTGTAATTAACTTCTAGCCGGAAAACTAGAAAGCTATTGTTTTAGTAAAATAGTTTACACTATGTTAGGCGTAGAACAAAACAAATAACTTCATAAAAGAGCCACATAAGGAGAACAAAAATTATTTCAAATAATGTATGGTTATTTAATATTAACTTTGCGTTTAATAGATCTTTCTTCAATTAGCATATAAATATATCTATATCTATATCTATCTATATATATATATATATAAAAAACAGTATATTAAATAGTTTAATTTATACATAATTTTTGCTACGTCCTGTACAGGGTGCGTAGCCAAATCTTTCAACAAAAAATAAGCACCTTTTAAGTACTTTACAAGCACTCAAAAGATATTTTTAATCACCTGCCAAAAAAAGTCATAATTAGGATTTGTGCAGCAATA